GGCCCCGCCCCTCCCCCGCCCCGCCTGAGCTCGGCCCGCCTCCGCACGCATTCTTTTGGCGCCCGGCGCGCTCCGTAGCTGCGCTCGAGTTCGGAGGTCGCGGGGCGGGTCTGCGTCGGCTGCCGCTGCCGCTACCGCTACCTCAGCCGCGGTCCGCGTCCTGCATCCCGGTGTTCGGCGAGGCGCGGTCGGAGCGCAGAGCATGGCCGTGGGCGAGGAGCTCGCGGCGGACGCGCCGGAGGACGGGCCGGAGGACGGAGCGCTGGCTTGCGGCGGCGCCCTCGAGTCGTTCGGCGACAGCGCGGAGACGCGGGCGCTGCTCGGCCGCCTGCGGGCGCTGCTTGGGGACCGCGCGGCCCGGGAGGGCGCCCTGGAGCGGTTCCGAGGTGCGTGTGCGCGCGGGCCCGAGGCGGGAGGCGGCGGGCCGCGCCCGACAGGTGCCCCGCGTGGGTGCTGCGGGCCGGGACCTGCCTCCTTCCCGCGGCGGCGCCCCTGCGAGCCCGTGTTGTGCGAGGGCGGTGGGCGCCTCCCCGCGCCGGTCTCTGTGGACCTGCGCGGGCTTCACGGCCACGGCTGCCACGCCGCCCCGAGACCGCGGTGTGGATGGCGAGGAGGCGCGAGCAGAGCCCCGCGTGCGGCGGGAGCCCGCAGCCCCGAGCCTGACTGGAGGCGGCCAGCGGGCGCGGGGCCTGGGCGGCGTCCCGTCCTGTTGCCGAGGGGCCTCAGACCTGAGGCCGGGGAGACGGACGGGGCTGTTCCGGCAGAAGCTGCGGGGCGGGCGGGGCGGGCGTGGCCCTGGTGGCGGGCCGGCTGCTCGGGGCGACTGTCGCCTGAAGCGAGCGCGGAGTTGGAAGCACGCTGGGGAAGGCGGCCGGCGGCTCGGTGGCCGCAGCGGTCAGCCGGCGGGGACCCCCGCGCCCCTCCCTTCGCCCCTCCGGCCGCTGTAATCTAGCTCGGGCATCTCGGACGCCTCTCCTGGTCCCAGCGGAAGCAGCAGACGGCCGGCCGTGCCCTGGGGCCTCGCCTGGAGCGCGCGCCGCGGGCAGTGCCGCCCGGTGGCGAAGGGCCCTTGGTGTCGCGTCTCCCAGTTCGCAGTTATCCTTTCGGATAATTAACAAGCGATTCCTTAGGGCCCAGCAGTTAGCGCGCAGGGTTTTCTGATTCAGTAAAACCACCTCTGTGGGTCTTTTTAGCTAAAGAATTTCTGCGTGACTTTGTCTTCCCCGGTTTGCGACGGCGGCCCTCTGACTGGGTGCGGGGCCCTGCCCTGCACGTGGGCCGGCGGCCCGATGGCTCCGAGCCTGCCTCTGGCCGTCAGCTGGGGCAGCGCCGACACGCGTGTGCGCGGAGCTGCCTGGAGGGTGCGGTGGGCGCTGGCCCTGGGCGCGGGCACGTGAGGACCGCCGCCTGAGCCGCTCCGGCCGCTGGGAGGCTGCCTGGGGTTGAGGAGGTCGGGCCGCGGCGGTGGGCCGGGCTCGTTGCTTGGGTGTCAGAGGAGAATTAAAGGAGTGAAGGTGCGTGTGTGTTTAGCGAAGGGCATCACTTGGTTGTGAACAGGAGAGTGAGGGAAGGGAGAGGGAGGAAGTGCTCAGGGGAGGAGGGAGAAGAGGACCAGGAGAAAGGTGAGCGGAGAGCACCAGGTGCGAGGCCAGGGCGTGGTGGACCTGGAGCTGCCCCTGGAAGTCAGTGCAGGAAAATGCGGGGGCTTGCAGCTCACCGGCATGTGTGCCTCCGTGGTGTTAATTGTCACGCTCTTTTTCTTTTCAGTAATAATGGACAAATACCAGGAGCAGCCTCACCTGTTGGACCCCCACCTTGGTAAGAGCAGCAGCTGATGATTTTGATTTTAGTCGTTCAGTTACAGATGATCACAGAGGCCTTAGTGTGTGGTGCTAGTGTGTGTGTGCGTGTGTGCATGTGTGTGTGTATGGTGCTAGGATGTGCGTGCATGTGTGCATATGTATGGTGCATGCGTTTGTGGTGCATGTATGTGCATAGTCATGTGCATGTATGGCACATGTGCGTACGGTGCTAGGATCTGTATGCATGTGTATGGTGCATGTATGTGCATGATGCATGCATGTGTGTGTATAGTTGTGTACGTGTGTGTACATGTGTGTATGGTGCTAGGATGTGCGTGCATGTGTATGGTGCCTGTGTGTGTATGGTGCATGCATGCACATGTATGTGTATAGTGTGTGTGGTACATGTGTGTACGGTGCTAGGATGTGCGTGCATGTTTGCATTTGCATGGTGCATGTGTGTGTGTATGGTGCGCACACGCTCGTATGTGTATGGTGCGTGCGTGTATGGTGTTAGTGTGTGCATGCATGTGTGCGTGTGCGTGTTGGCAGAGGGTGTCAGGATGAAGTGCCCGGGTCTTGTTAGCCCGGCCGGCTGGTCAGTTTAGTGGACCTGTGACAGTGGGGTGAGGTCCAGCTGTCCCTGCAGGCTATGGGCAGGTGTGTTCGAGCTGCATTCTTCCCACTGCAGTTTAACACAACACATGTTTTGGTCGTCATGTATGTTTTAGTGTGAGCTCTGCAGTTGGGTTGATGGCGTGTGCATGCCGGCCCTGTGTGAGCTTTGGGTGGGTGAGGCCTTTGCCTCAGTGCTCACTGACATTTCTCACCCAGCCTGTGGACTATCCCTGTGCACGTGACGATTGGACCAAAGACTTGAGGGGGCCTCTGCTTAGCTTCTCCCCTTTGGTACTCTACCCTGCAAATCTCAGGCTCCTTGAACCTCAGTCTCTGCTTTGCCTGAGTCACACATTCCTGCACTGACTAATAAAAATTATTTCCTGGTGGTCAACCTGGGCAGCTGTAGGTCCCAGTTGGTTTGTTACCACACATTGCCTGTGGTTCCACTGTCTGGAAATACATTTGTCATATATTTGTCCAGTTTTCTAGTTGTTGTGGGTAGGGCAGTTCATATCAGTCTTTCCTCTATACTAGCAAATTCTTTCTTTTGGTCTTTCTGCATTGGTTAGTTCCAGATCATGCTAAATCATGGTAGTTGTGGCAGGTATCTTCTGTAAAGCATGGTATTAGATATTGATTTAAAATAGAATATTTTGCAAAAATAAGACATTTTCCCTGCCCGTTGAAAGCAGGAATGAATGTCGTATTAATTCTAATGCCCATTTAGAAACTGTTCAGATGAAAATGGTTTTTCCTTTTGCTCTATTGATACTGGGATTACATAGGTTTACTAATAAAATTAAACCATTCATACATTTCTATCCCTTTATTTTTATTTTATTTATTTTTTTTTTAGCTGAGCCATCCCGCCACCTGTTGGCAGCTCACGGCTGCTCAGCTCAGGCTGACTCGAACCACTGTTGCTCAGAGCTCAAACTCTTGAGCGAGCTCTTAACCAACTGAGCCACTCAGCCGGCCCCCATTCATACATTTCTAAATAAATGTTTGTTTCTTTTGCATTTTGTTGTACTATCTTATTGATGTTTAATTTTATGGTAAATGTTTTGTCTTTTTCCCTAGAATGGATGATGAACTTGTTGTTGGGCATAGTGCAAGACCAGACCTCTCCAGCTGAGCTCGTGCATCTGGCTTTTAAGTTTCTTTACATCATCACCAAGGTAACAGTTACTCATCAGTTTATAGTTGACAGAACCTCTCAATATATTTGGTCCAGAAATTACCTTCCAAAATGTTGTTTCTTGTGAAGGAAGGTTCACACGCATAAGTTGTGGCTTTTTTCTCTTTGTACCATATTTTGGGGATCAGATATTAGTAATCCAGGTGGTCAGGCTGCAACAATGTGCAGGATATTTAGCGTATGCATTTGAATAGATCGAGTACTACCCAGCTAGAAAGGAAGAGAGAGGCAGACACTCGACTAACTTGGAAAAGCTTTTGACAAGGAAATGGAAGTGCTCTTCCAACAAGGGTGCAGGTGAGTGTCCTGGGGATGTTGTTATAATGGAGACTGTCAGGATGTCTGGGGTGGGGCCTGATACTCTGCATTCTTGCAAGCACGCAGCTGATGCCCATGTGCTGGCCTGCACTTACTGGAGGTGGCGGCTTTGACCATGGGAGTGACTCAGAGCCTCTCGGTAGGTTGTGGTTCTGCAGGCTACACGTTGCTGTCATGCCTACTGTGTGGTGGAAAGAGGCCCTAGGCTAATGGGAGCACGCCAGGGTGCCATGGGCACGCTTCTCTGCAGCTCGATTGGTCCCTTTCCAGAGGTGTTGGCCACTGCATTTTGTGGAAGCCGTAATGAATCTGGGGACCTCGAGGCTCTCTAGGACGTACCCTTCATAAGTGTCAGAGAGCAATCATAGAGACAAGGTTGAAGCCAAACTTTTCAGTTTGTAACATACCTGTGTCTGATAAACCGCATGGAAGATTTATCGTCAGTTTGGGGCAGAACATGTGTTTATGAAACGACCTCAGCAGAGAGAGTCTTCCTGTTGCTTGTCTTACTAAATCTTGTCACAGAGAGAGTTCTCTGGGTCATTGGGTGGCCTATGTGGTGATTTTTCAAGAGGGAAAAGATAATCTCGTTACTTTCTGTGTTTCTAATTATATAGTAATTCAGTGTTTTTTTCTGTTTGGCAGGTTCGAGGATATAAAACATTTCTTCGTTTGTTTCCTCATGAAGTCGCCGATGTTCAGCCTGTCTTAGACATGTTCGCACATCAGAACCCGAGAGACCACGAGGTGAGTGCCCGTCTTCCTCCTCTCCGTTCTCAGCCACCTTGTCTCTGCCTTCTCCCTGTGTTCCTCCATTCCTGCACCAGCGACTTCACCTTCCATTTCTTTCAGTTTTATCTTATTACACCATTTGTATCACTCATTTCCTTTAGTCTTTTGGCTTTTTTTTTGTTACGTGTTTATTTTTCTGTGACATACGTCCTTTATAAAGGAAAGAGTATGCTTACCTAGTGTGGTGATAATTATGTCACCATTCAAGTTTTTTTTTAAAGATTTTTTTTTTTTTTTTT